AAAGGATAGAGTACAACTGCCCCATAGGGTTTCCAAGGCTGTACATCTTTATAGAAGCACACTGACCCATCCTTCTACCCTGGAGCAGCTGATGGATTGAGCAGCCAACCTTTTGGTGAGCAGCCAAATGCTTTAACCGCTATGCCACCAGAGCTCCTAATACAACTCAATAGAGATGGAGAATTCTAAAAAAATATATGGTTCTGACTACACACTCTTAGACAATTATAATATGCAAGGTATAGGGAGATAGAAACAAACAAACAAAAAACCCCAAACTCATTGCCAAAGAGTTGATTCAACTCATATGCCACCAGAGCTCCCATAGCCACCAGAGCTCCTTTTATAGGGAATAGCAGTTGGAGTTGGAATTTAAGTATCTGAGTTTTAATACTAACCATCACTAATATGTTATCTTAGGTTACAGTCTATTTTAGGGAGCTCTGGTGGTGTAGTGCTTAAGAAATTTGACTGCTAACCAGAAGGTTGGTAATTCAAACCCACCAGCCACTCCTTGGAAGGAATATTGGGCAATCTATTTCCATAGAGATACCACCTCAGAAACCCAAGGAGGGGTTGCTATGAGTTGAATCAACTTGACAGCAGTGAGTTTTTTTTTTTTTTTTTTTTCCCCTCGTGTAAATTAGTAGTTGGAATCTTTAAGGTCTTTTCTAGCTCAGATGTTCTATGATTCTTTCGAAACCAATCATTTGGGCTGCTATTTCACTTCTCTCTTGCTTGTGTTTTGTCTACTAAATATAATGCTCTGTGTTGGAGAAGTTAAAACATGCACTGCTGAGAGAAAATGGAAGTTGGAATTAGAACAGGAGGTGATTTCCAGTTCCAGATGTTTAAGTGTCTTCATTTCAGAAAGAGGGAAAAATGTGGATTCTAGAAACCACAAAGGGATGTATGTTTGAGAAACCATATAAAAAATTCTGTGTGGCAATGTTCTACATCCTCCTTAGGTGAGTAGTGACTGGGCCTTTCAAAGTTTGTGTGTGGCCATCTAAGGTGAAACTAATGCTCTCTCCCTGTCAGGAGCAAAGAGGAGTGACGAAAATCAAAGTCACAAGGAAACAATTGGTCTATAGGATTAATGGACCACATGAACCCAGCCTCCAAGACTCTGAGCCAGTGGTGCCCGACTACTACTGCTGACTGCTCTGAAAGCGATTGCAATAGGAGGTCACAGAGAGAGTGGAAGAAAAATGTGTAACCAAACTCAAAACCATGAAAAAGGCCAGGCTTACTGGTCTGATAGATACTGGTGGACCTCCTGAGCCTCTGACCTTAGACAACTTTTAAGCCTGGAACTGAACTCAGTTCCTTGGCTCAACTTTCAGCCAAACAATAGAACTATAAGGTGAACAATAACACCAGGAAGGTATGAACTCTTAGAATACTCAACCATATGAAATAAAAAGGGAAGCATTTGCCCAGGTATAATGCTCAGAAGGCAGGAAGGGATAGGGAGAAAGGATGAAAGGAAATGGTAACACAGGGAGAGAGTGGGACGAGTGCTGTTACATTGTGGGGATTACAATCAATATCACAAAACAAAATGTGTATGAATTGGTGAATGGAAGAATGTTCACCCAAATTACAATAAAAAGTAAAAAAAAAAAAAAAGAGTTTTTCTTAGAAAAGAAAGGTGATGTCTAGGGGCTAGCAGGGTTTTCCACAAATAACCATATGCAACCGAATCAGAGAGACCTGACTCCAGAGAAGATGAAGTGAGAAAAAGGCCCTTGAGGTTTTGATTGACTGAATATGGTTCCTGATTACTATCCAACAATGACATATTTGTTAAAACAATGACTTCTCAGGTGCATTAACAGAAATATGATGAGAGATCATGGGAGGGAGGTGTCCTACTGTCCTCTGTACTTGTCACTCTATTTTCAGCATTATAGTCTATTCCAGGTGCCATATTTGAGAGGAATATTTCAAATTAAAGAATATTGATAGGTGGGGATAGGGAGCTGGAAATTGAGTCATATGAAGGATGCCTAAGGTAGTGGAATATTTAACCTGAGGAAGCAGAAGATTTAGCTTTTCTCAATCCTTGAAGGGATGTTACACAAAAGAAGATATAAATTTAATGTGTTTGGCTACAGAAACACAATCATTACATAGAATTTCATGGGATGGCAGTTATGCTTTAATATGACCAATAACTTTCTAACAGCTAGAGTCTGCTTTACCATAACAGTGTAAAACTGTTGTCTCTAAGTGTACAAGCCAAGGTTGCAAGTCCACATCATGTGGCATATAAAAAGAATTCATATATTAGGATAGCAATTGGACCAGCTGATCTGTAGGGTTCTTGTGAGTAATAATTTATAATTGTAAGTTAGTTTAGAACTTTTTTTTCCCCATAGAAACTGTTTTATAAAGGGTCATTAGGATCCCAGGTCAAAAAAGTCTCATGTTTTTGAACTCTTCAATTAAAAACACACTCTTGAGTCTAGGGAACAGAGAGTTTTAAGGTTTATAGAAAGAACAGAAGGAAGACCATTAGCTACCCTTGCTGGGGGAAAGATCTAGCCCAAGATGACATCAAAAATAGCTGAGGAAACTTTTGAAATCAACATCACAAAACAAAATGTGTATGAATTGGTGAATGGAAAAACGTTATGCCTTATGAGGAAATCAATACTTGGAGTTAAATCCCCGTGACTCATGGCCTTTTACTTGATATCTGGTTGATCTTATTTATTTATTTATTGTTAAATGGGGCTAATCATACTTTGTATAATATAAATAAAACAATAGTTTTTGGGGATCAAATGAAATAATGGATATAATGTGCCCAGCAGAGCAGTGGACACATAATGAAACCAAAACCAAACTTACTGCTGTCAAGTCGGATCTGACTCACAGCAACCCCTCCTTGTGTTTCCGAGGTGGTATCACTACAGGAGTAGATTGCCCAACCTTCCTTCTGAGGAGTGGCTGGTGGGTTTGAACCGCCAGCCTTCTGGTTAGCAGTCAAATGCCTTGTTGTTGTTGTTGTGATGTGCCATTGAGTTGGACCAGACACATAACGACCCCTCCTTGGGTTTCTGTGGAGGCATCCACACAGAAGTAGATTGCCCAATCTTCCTTCCAAGGAGTATCTGGTGGGTTTGAACCGCCAGTCTTCTGGTTAGCAGTCAAATGCCTTAGGCACTACAATAGTTAGTAAATGCAGGGTTTCTCACATTATCTACAAGTGTGTGCCTCTTCCAATTTTCAAAATATTTTCACTTACATTATTTCATTTAATTCTTACAATGACCTCATAGGTTGGCAAGGTAAGTGTTGTTGTTGTTGTTGCTATGTACCGTCGAGTCGGACCCGACTCATAGCAACCCCTCCTTGGATTTCTGAGGCAGTGTTACTACAGAAGTAGATTGTCTCATCTTCCTTCCGACGAGTGGCTGGTGAATTTGAACCACCAGACTTCTGGTTAGCAGTCAAGTGCCTTAGGCACCATGCTACCAGCTCCTAAGGTAAGTGTAATATCTACATTTTACATTTAGAGAAGAAAATGATGCCTACAGTAAATGACAGTTTTCTTGAAATACTTATTTGCCTTCTCATTTAATGAATATTTCTAGTGGCAAGGGATTCATTGCTCTATAGCACAACCAATTCCATCCTGGAACCTAAGGAAGAAGAGTGAAATGTTCAAGAGCTTTCAAAATATGCACTTAAGACAACATGCTCCACCTACCAATTAGCAAGAGTTATGGACATGTCTGTGCTGTAAAGAGTGTAGGTAGATTGACCCTCTCTGATACACTGATGGTGAAAATCTAATTTGGTGCTGTCATGTGCCGTTGAAATTGGTGTAATATTTAGAAAATGCAATTCAGACACATGCATTGAGAACCTCGGACATGTTCATCTTTTGATTTCATAATTTTCTATCTAAGAATCTCTTCTAAGAAAATAATCAAAAATAATAAAAATGTTTGGTGCACAGAGGAGCTCATCAGAGTATATTCTCTAATGGTGAAAACTAGAAACAATCTAAACGGCCTACAATGGGGAAGAGATAAAATAAGTTTATTTTATTTTATAAATAAATGCTGCAGTGATAAAGGAGACAGACTTTGAAGTGGATTATTGCATAAGCTAGCTAATTCTTAGTTAATTCATCTAAAAATGGGATAATGGTACCTATTTAAAGTGATTTTATGAGAAATATGTATAATATTGCATGGAAATATGTAGCCAGTGAGGCATATAGTAAGCACTTAAAAATAGCAATTATTATCATCACTACATGGTAGCTGTGCTATTAATTAAATGCTTACTCTATGCCAGGCACTGAGCACAGTTTAAAACAATTATCTCTTTTAATCCTCATAATAACTCTTTGACATATGTGCTATTAGTATGTTCATTTCACAGGTATAGAAACTGAAGATTAAAGTGAGTAAATAGCTTTCCCAAGTTCATACAGATGGTGCACAGCCATACTGGCTTGTGACCCCAGGCAGTCTGACTCTGGAGCCCATCCTCCATACAAGATATACTGCTTCCCATACCATGAACTATGCTGTGTCTTTGTGTGTGTATTTATATGCATACATATACATACATACTTAAATGGTGTTTGGAAACAGTTTTAACTTTAGATTACCAGTATTTAAGAACAGGATTCCAAGCTGTATGCAGGTATGACATCTACTATATAAAATGTGCATGAAATGAACTGAAAATAAATATGGTTGCCTCTGCGTGGTGGTTTTGTGGGTGAGTTTTATTCTGAAATCTTTAGACGTTTCTGTGCTTTCCACTTTTCAACTAAAAACATGTACTATTTATTTACAGAAAATTGAAAGGAGAACAGATACATAAATAAAAGAATCCAAAGAAGAAGTGAGGAAAATAGTTCTTCCAATTCTGGCCGTAGAATATACCTGCTGTCCTGAATGACAATCCTTCAGAAAATGATTGAAAATACTGGGTAAAAAATTGAAAGCATTGGGAATATAAACACTTACATGTACCAGAAATGGAGTGGGTGTGGGCAAGGTTGGTGTGGGAACAGGCTCCGGGTGGATAACTATTTCAGCAGGAACTGCTCCATCTTCATCTTCTCGAGGCTTTTGATCTGCACAGCGACCAATGTCTGCATTTTTGAAGGATATAGGCTGTGCGAAGTCCATGGGGCTAGGGAATATAATTAAAAGGGCATTTTATGTCTTATTTTTTGTTTGCCTTCTTTGCAAGTAAATCACACCCTCCTCTTTTATTTTATTGAGGGCCATCAGTGTAACATTGTAACTCTAATTTGAAGAGCGTCAGTTCCTTTTCCCCAGCTTTTTGACCACATGATTTTGGATAGCATGGAAGCAACAGGATCCTCACACCCAAAGAAAAAATATATATAGTAGCAAGGAGATTGACTTACACAGAGTTAATAACTAGGTTCCATATACAGCCTTCGAAAGGAGGAATATTTCTGAGTGGGGAAGGCTGAAATTCTAGTGGAGCACCCCCAACGAAAAGCTTTTTAACTTCAATAGCCTGTTCCACAGTCAGGTTTTGCATATGTCTTCTGTCTTCATCAACTTGAACAGTAAAGATGCTGATGACATATTAAAAGGAAACAAGTATAAAATACATAATGTTCAATACATTTGGAAACCCAACTCTTTCCAGTTACTCTTCCCCTTTGCCTCCTGTAGTCTGAAGCGAGCCAAAATGTATGTGATGTTTGGGAGCTCTACACTAAGCAAATGCTATTGTTTCTCAGGATCTCGTCCCTCTGCCTCCTTTGTTAACTCTCCCCAAGAGTTTACTGAAGCCAGGCAATGGTATGGCTGCAGCGTTTGCTGCTGGTGGAATTGACAACAGTGGTCTGCAGCCCAATGTCAGCTGGTAAGAGCTCAGGCTTCTGTACTGTGTAGTAATGTCTAATCATGAAAGGCTCAGTGGGTTTAGCACAGCATGGGGTCACGTTTTGTTTAGCTCTTTATTTCGTGGTTTGTGTTAGCTATTATCTTCTTGCTAGGGGACAAACTGTACTCCTGAGAGCTTAGATTGCACGAATCAACAGCAAACACATACAGTACATTTACAAAGAATGTAGCTGCTGGCTTTTGAATAGAACAGGCAGGAAAGAACCATGCTAATTGTTCCTTGCAATGATTTTCCTCAGTGGCTGTTTCTCTAATTTGCTTATCAGAGATAATTCACACATTACTAATTGAGAACCTCATGCTACTTATTCACAACAATCTATGGATCCTGGGGCAAAGAATTAAAAGGAGACACAGAGTTCTGATGATGCAGATGACCAAAGGCTTTTTCTCTTTTGTTATCAGAGCAAGTTTTGAGCTTCAATATCAACAGTCAGCATGACAGTATTACTCATAAGTATTAGTCAGTAGTCTGAGGAGCCTGAATGGATTACTGAAAACTTACTTCACATCTGAGGAGAAAATTAAAGTACTTGGGTGGAAAACTCAACTGTAAACTACTATCTCACTTGATTTTATAATGAAGAAAAAACACATGCAGGACTGGAAACAATAAACCAGAGCAAAGATGGTCTGAACTGCCACCGAGCAATTATCTACCTTAGGACACTTCAAATGTAAGAGATGCAACAAAAGTTAGGTGCCACTATTGTTCAAAAACCTTTCCATTTAATGGAAAATGAATTTGCTCTGTAAACTTTCATCCAAATCACACACATTAAAGTTCTTTGTTAAAAAATGTTATTGTTCAGGAGGTAGAGAAGGGGCAGGTTGGACCTACTTTTAGCTGAAAAATAGAGGCATCTGACATGTTAGTGTCTTACCAGGATCTGAAAGCATGTGTTGGCAAAAATCAGGACGTTCAACCTCAGTGCTAAAAGACTTTTAGAAAACCAGAGACTCTGGGGTATGTGTGACTCCGTGAGAAGTCTCTCCTACCTCCGATATCCTTTTCTCTTTGGATACAGGAATATTCTGATGAGTTTTATTGGGGGCTTCAAGCCACTATCAAAGACCTTCCAAGGAGAGCAAATATCTGCTCTTGATCAAAGTTTTTAAGTAGCCAAGAACCTTCTTCTTTTGAGTGTAGACCATCCGTAGTCTGGGTCTGGCCTAAGGACCACAAAAGTGGTCTTGTCATACTAGGTCACAGGGTGATGATGTAGAATGAACACGGGCTGTAAAAAGGAACAGACTGGCTTGGGAGTTTACTAGCAGTGGGATCTTGGGCAAGTTATTTAATCTTGTCCAGACTCATTTCATTCATTATAAAATGGAGATAAAATTATCTACTTCAAACAGTGGAAAACATTAATTAAGGGACTATACTAATTCTGTGCCTATGTGATGAATGTTCTCACAGGGGAGAAAACTGACTTGGTCATGTATCTTACTTGCCAAAGCAGCTTTTCTAGGGTCTTAGGGGTTAGTGTTTTAGTCCAGTTAGAACATCTTGCTACTGAGGTGGACTCAGGAGAAGGATCAGAGGGCAAAGCAGAGAGAGAAGGCAGGAGTCACCGAAGTATCTACAAATTAGATAATGAAGTGACAGATGTGAGGAGGAAAGGTACAAAAGGAGAGAGAATTAGAGAGAAGGATAAAGAATGGCAGCGGGGAGAGAGAACAGCTAAAACAACTTGAGAGGTTTGCCCCTGAATTTGGTAAAAATCCAGTGATTTTGTGAGTAGTATTGAAGCTGCCATTTTTATCCAGGATTTTAGGAGAAAAAACAAAGATGTCATTTATAGTTTGAAAAGAATTAAAGAAAGTAAATCTTTCCAAATTAATAACAGTATCATCATAAACATGAAGTAACACAAATGATTGAGATGAGGATGAATAAAAGATAAGGATAAAGAGTAGACTGAAGATAGGTGCAGATGTTAGATCCTGATTCTGTTATTTACTAGCTTTGTGACTTTGGGCAGGTTAGTTAATATTTCTTCATCTATGATGAAACATATTAATACAGATTATAAAGGACAACTATAAGTATAAAAGGACATCATCTTTGTTCAGTATTTGATAGAGAATATGCCCTAAGTAGATATATAAAGCATTAAAAATGTTTCTGGGTGAAGTTCTAAAGGTCTTTAGTGATTTCCAGTTAGTTTATGATAGCACTTGCTGAAAGGATAGATGACTATTGTTTTTTAACCTCAGAGTGCTAAAGGAGACATTATAGTAGCAAATGTGTTCTGGTTTTGGCATAGACTGCCGTAACTACACACTAATATGCCCAGTACACTATCCTGTAATTAATGATGAACGGCAACATTGTTTGTTTATATGGCCAATTAACTGAATGGCCAGTTTTCAATGATGTACTCTACACTGAGCTTAATCAAATAAAGGTGGAATTGATGGCCAACAGCTGTGAAGTTGGCATAATAATATGTCTTTCTTAAGCACCTGTTAAAAGGACACTTCAGTACAGTATCATAATGCATTTGGGAGTTTCAGAACTGTCTCTCTACAAAATAACATATTTGGATGATTTTTGGAAGAAAGATGGGCAATCTACTTCTGTAAAGGTTTACCACCTTGGAAACACAATGGAGGTTGCTATGAGTCAGAATTGACTTGATGGCAGTTCTTTTCTTTCTTTTTTTTTTTAATATCTCTCCAATCTTCATTTATGGGAGCTCTGGTAGGATAGTGCCTAAGACACTTGACTGCTAACCAGAAGGCTAGCAGTTCAAACCCACCAGCCACTCCTCGGAAGGAAGGTTGGACAATCTACTTCCTTAGTGATACCGCCTCTAAAACCCAAGGAGGGGTCACTATGAGTCGGGTCCGACTCAACAGCGCATAACAACAACAGCAATCTTCATTTGGTTATTGAAAATATTAAAGTTGAAAGACTAAACATTCTTCCCATGTTGAGAAGGATTAAAATATGATGAAGGGCCTAAAATCTATTCTAGAAGAAATGTTAAAATCAGTACTCTCCAGCATTTCCAAAAGTTCAAATGAGAAAATTCAGTTTGCATTTCTCATCAGAGATGATGCCTGCAAGATCTAGCTATTGGATTAGCAAAAATTCTTTGTTCAAATATTGAGCCCTCATTTGTCATAATCATAGTTTCTAGACATCTTAGTTAGACACTCTGCATGAATACTTGGTATTTCTTCAGCCCACAAACTCTTTCTCTATATAATACGTGCCAAGGAAAGTTTTATCAGTTACTTAGAAGATCCAAAATCCTTATCTAAACTGTTATGCAAACAAGAAGATAATTAGAAAGAGTGTTTATGCTAAAGCTGGAGCTCTGGTGGTGTAGTGCCTAGGGCATTTGACTGCTAACCAGAAGGCTGGTGGTTCAAACCCACCAGCCACTCCTAGGGAAGAAGGTTGCACAATCTACTTCTGTAGTGATACTGCCTGGGAAATCCAAGGTGGGGTTGCTATGAGTTGGATCTGACTTGATGGCAGTGAGTTTGGTTTTTTGGTTTTTTTATACTAAAAGATAGCAGTTGCTTACTTAAAGTATTGCTACAAATTCATACCATTGTCATATTTAAAGGCATGTTTTGTGTTTTGGGGTTTCATCGGATTTGATTTCCAGTTTTTTCCATGCCTTTAGTCTAATAAATGAATTGCTTATTTGGGAGTCTGAGGCCCCAGAAGTCTCAGAGCTTCTGGTTTCTTTTTCTTTAATTGTCCTTTTAAACTAATTACCTCTCTGAGTTGTCATATAATATTTTGATGAAAAATTCAAATGACTTTCCTAATTAAGTAAGTATAATGTACTACAACATTCTGAAGAAATGAGAAATGCATTTATACACAATTATGGTCAACTCCTCGATTCAGTTGCTGGAAGCATGTGGTTTCACAGATCTGTAGAAAAGTGTCCTGAGTGAACAGATCATAGGGCAGTGACCTTTTCTCTTCTGTCGCACTTTGTTCCCTTATGGAATCATGACACAGAGACTTATACACATTGAGGAGAGGGAAAGGGATGAGGCATGGCTGCCATGTGCACCTCACAGTGCTCACCAGGTCCCGCAATTGCTGCCATGCTCTGTGTCTGGGACAGGTTTCTTAGCAGCCACCATAACTGCTTTGGAACTTAAGTGGAAATGCAGCTGCCAAGGGCTGCTGGCGCCTGATGAGCTGTTGTGTGTGTTTCAGTATGCATACACCTTATTGGAGAAGACAGTGTTTGAGAGGTGCAGAGGGAGGAATATGTTTTATCTATAGCTTCTAAAGATGCATTTGTTTTTTTCCACAGGTGCAGAGGGGAATTGTATAGAATAAAAATGCTCTTAGCAGAACTTCTAAGGGCCAAGGCAGATGAAGTTTCCAAAGTACACAATGTAAAAACAAAAAATAACTCACTGCTAGGGAGTAGATTCAGACTCACAGCCACCCATCCTTGGGTTTCCAAGGCAATATTTCTACACAAGTAGATTGTCCAGTCTTCCTTCTGAGGAGTGGCTGGTGGGTTTGAACTGACAGCCTTCTGGTTAGCAGTCAAATGCCTTAGGCACTATGCCACCAGAGCTCCCATAAAATGTAAAGAAGAGGAAATTACACTACTTTATATTTTTGCAATGCAAAATCTACCCACACAGACTAAGGTTCAGGTAGACTCTAACATTAAAGGAAGGAAGTTCTTGTCAGTTTGTAGGTTGTTTAACAGTAAGTACTCTAGTGCCATGGTTACCCTTTAGTTCTCTCTACATGCACAGAATGTTCTCTCCCGTCGTGAAACAGACTCGGCTCTGGTTTGACGACAATTTTCCTCATTGTTCGTGCCCCTGTGGAGAGATGCACTTCCAGACGGCCTTTGTTCAGGAATATCGCATAATAGGCCTGCAACAACAAATGGTTATTGAAGATTAAATGAGAGTCTTATCTGTGACTTAGCTTCAGAGGGTCTCTGACAGAACTGCAGATCATCCTCCTTGAGATCTTATGCGAGAAGTAAGACTCAATATTTTCGTAAGCAGAGTATTTAGGGTGGCTGGAAATAGCCTTTTAATCATGTACCACTTTTTATTGGTTAGATGATATGGAAAGTAAATGTAATAATGTAGCAATTTTCTGCAAAGCAGATTTGGGCTGCTGAAAGTAACAGCTGTGCTTGTTTTAGGCTTCTAATTTATAAAACCAAGCGGGGGGAAAAAAAGGGTCCAATACAATCCCTCTCCCTTATATTCACAAGTGGACAATAGGCGTCTGGAAATTAGGTCTGACTCTGAACCTCATGGCATTTTGAGCATTTAGACTTCAATTTTGTTTCCTCAGCTGGTTGACTAGATTGCTATCACACACACGTAACGTGTCGCTCACATTCAGAAAGAAGGAAGATGATTTTTCATCCACAAACATGCCTGCTTTCTTCCTGCTACTGTTACTATAGCAACCACTATGGTTTTGATATCAGATTATGAACAGATTACGAATGCAGTCCTCTTCCCCCGGCTGATGCCATGTGCACTCCACTTCTGGTGGGGCACCAGGGCATCTGCTCCACGGTGATCACTTGGTCCTCCAAGCGTCATCTGCGAGGATGGAGACTGTTTCAATCAAACATCATAATGTCTCCAATCGTTTACTTGATTAGCATGCAGCTCTGTGTTCAACACACAATGTTCAGAGGAATGGGAATAATACTCACCATTCAAAGAAGGGGCAACTGCATAATAATCAATTAAAAATTGCTTAGCTAATTGATCATTTGGTATCTCAAACTCCTCTAGCAGAGTATATATAATCACAAAAAATTTTAAGGCTATCAAAACATTTAGCTTTGAAAAATAAAATATGCCAATTTAGCCAGTATTGATTCTAGAACAGATGTGCACTATTTGACATCGTTTTCCCTTTCAGATAGTGTTTACTGTGACATTTGTAAAAGTAGACATTCCTCATTATTTAAATATTAAAATATTAAAAAATATTATTTTGAAATTACTTTGGACTATAGAACTTAATTAAAACTCACTGTTGTCAAGTCGATTTGACTCATAGTGACCCCTCCTTGGGTTTCTGAGGTGGTATCACTACAGAAATAGATTACCCAAGCTAAGGTGGTGTAGCGCCTAAGGCATTTGATTGTTAACTACAAGGCTGGTGGTTCAAACCCACCAGACACTCCTTGGAAGGATGGTTGGGCAATCTACTTTCGTAGATTTGGAAACTCAAGGAGGGGTCACTATGAGTCAGATCCGACTAGATGGCAGTGAGTGACAGAACTTAATTATAGCCTTGGAAACCCAATGGAGGTTGCCATGAGTCAGAACTAACTCAATGGCAGTGAGTTTTGAGATAACTTAATATTTTAATTGTTTTAATAGCCACACATTCTTTTTAAAGAACTATCCTGAAAACTGGTGATTCAAGTCCATTTATTTAGTCTTGAGGAGAATTTTGTAGCCAGTAGGCAATGACCAAGAAAATATCTTTTAATGGAAATCTATTTCAGAACTTTTGATCTGCTCTCTCAATATGGCTACCTTATCATTTATAATGTTGTTGTTGTTCTTATGTGTCGTCAAGTTGGACCTGACTCATAGCGACCTCTCCTTGGGTTTCCAAAGCGGTATCACTACAAAAGTAGATTGCCCAATCTTCTTTCTGAGGAGTGGCTGCTGGGTTTGAACGCCAGCCTTCTTGTTAGTAGTCAAGTGCCTTAGACACTACGCTACCAGAGCTCCTATCATTTATAATAGTGAGAAAAAGAAAATAATATATATATATTTTTTCAGGATTAAAAGATAACAAAATGAAAAGTATTCATTTATAATAGTGAGAAAAAGAAAATAATATATATATATTTTTTCAGGATTAAAAGATAACAAAATGAAAAGTATTCATTTATAATAGTGAGAAAAAATAGTTTTCAGGATTAAAAGATGGAAAGTATATTTCGTATTTATTCAGTGCTTATTATGTGCAGGATGAAATGAAATAGAGTAACAGTTTAGAATATATTTTTATTATGACTATTTGCTACATTTATCATAAGTGATTTACATGAAAATGATGAAACTATGTTCACAACTGTACAATGAAATGAATACTTGTAAATCTGTCATTCAATTTAATTAAAAAAAACAAACATTGCATCTATTGTGAGTTTGTTTCCAATCTTATCCTCTTGCCTCCCTATCTCAGAGGTAACCACTAACATGAATTTTATGTTTATCATTCCCTTTTTTTTAATGTCTTAGAAAATTCACTTATGTATGTAAAACCCAAAAAACCCACTGACATTGAATAAATTCCAACTCAAAGTGACTCTATAGGATAGAGGAGAACTAACTGTCCCATAGGGTTTCCAAGGCTGTAATCTTTACAGAAGCTGATTACCACATCTTTTCCCTGCCAAGTGGCTGGTGGGTTTGAACTGCCAACCTTCTGGTTAGCAACCAAGTGCTTAACCACTGTGCCACCACAACTTCTTACATATATATATGTCTGGAAATAACATATTGTGTAGTGCTGCTTGTGTTTGAAATTCTATAAAAATGTTATTGGATTGTATAATATTTTTTAATTTTATATTTATTTTCTAATATTCATCCATGTTCTTATGTTTAGCTACAGTTTATTCATTTTTATTGCAGCTCAATATTCCACTATGTGAAAAAGTCACAGTTTAACTGTTCTTCATTTGATGAACATTTGGGTTGTTTTGAATTTTTCTTCTGTTATAAATAAGGCTGCTAGGAACATTTATGTACCTGTCTGTGCATTTATGCAAGAGTTTCAGTCTAAACTTAAGAGTCAAATTGTTGGCTTATAGAATATGCACGTGTTCAACTTTATAAGATGTTGCCAAATTATTTTCCAAAGTGGCTATAGAGGTTTACTTTTTCCACCAACATTAATGAAGAGTTTCCTTTGATCCATTCCTTGCAAATGCTCGATATTATCAATACATCATATATCATAACATTTTACTAGTCTCGTTAGGTGCACATGGTACATCATTATGGTTTTAAATTTCATTTCCCTGATTAAAAATGAGATTACTTTTTTATGCTTATGGCTCATTGATATTTTCTGTTGTGTGAAATATCTGTCCAAGTCTTTTGTCCATGATATTCTATATATTTTTGTCTTTTTCTTATTTCTTATTTAAAAAATATATATCGTGGATATTAATTTTCTTAGGCTATATTTGTCATAAGTTTCTAGGACGAAATTTATGTTTTGTGTCATTGGGTGACCAATGTTCTTAATTTTAATAAAGTAACACTTGTAGTCTTGTTTTATTTAATAAATCTTTTTTTTTTCTCCAAGGGTCAAAAATTACCCTCTCTTTTCTTCTAAAATTTTTCAGGATTTGCATTTCATGTTTAAGACTTTAAGTCAGTGGGAACTGATTTTTCTGTTCAGTGTGAAGTACAAATTAGTTTCATTTTTTCCATTTGGATAAATAATTACCTTAGCATCAGTCACTGATAGGTCCACTGTTTTCTTACGAGCTGCAACACCCGGGTATTCCAGGACTCTATTCTGTTCTATCATCAGAGAGTTAGCCCTGAATTAACATGACACTTGTTGTTGTTGTTGTTATGTGCCGTCGAGTCGGCCCCGACTCATAGCGACCCCTCCTTGGGTTTCCGAGGCAGTATCACTACGGAAGTAGGATTGCCCAACCTTCCTTCCGAGGAGTGGCTGGTGGGTTTGAACCACCAGCCGTCTGGTTAGCAGGCAAGTGTCTTAGCCACTATGCTACCAGAGCTCCCTAACATGACACTACTGCAACCCAAATCTCTAGCTTCTAATGTGCTGATAGCTGGTAGGGGAGCCACACCACCCTTTCTACTCCAGGAAGATCTTGAGCATTTGCTCTTCTTTCATATAAATTTTAGAATTAGTCTCTCATGATACTAAAAAAAAGATAAAATGTTTTACTGGAACTGAATCCACATGTCATTTTTTTAAAACTGATATATTTTTAATATTGAATCAATTAACATATTGAATATGTCTATTTATTTAGGCCTACTTTAATATATTTCCATAAAATTTTATATTTTTTTCCATATGGATCTAATACCTGTTTGGTTATATTTTTTCTTAAATTATCTGCTTGTTCTTATACTATATTTTCTTGTTCTTTTCTTATTGCAATGGCTAAGACCAGTGCCATAATAACATTCATTCCTTTCTTGGTTCTGAATTTAAAAGAAATATGTTCTTCTATCAAGACTATTTGTTATAGTCTTGTTATAGCATTTGACAGGTGGTTCAAGAAACTTCTGCCACTTCTTACTTTGCAAGCATTTTTTTCTGTTTTGTGAGATGATTATGTTTTCTAGATTTTCTAATAGTAAGCCACTCTTGCATTTCTAAGATAATCCAACTTACTCATGATGAATTATTGTTTTTCAATACTTTTACACATCTTTGATTCTATTTGCTAGTATTTTGTTAGGTCGGTTAGGGAAATGAATAAGGCTTACTGCATAATACTATTTATTGTTAAATATCAAATGCTAAGACTGATTAAAAACACATATAATCACAAATAACATAACTTTGTTTACAAATATATGACCATATTTAAGGGTATATTTGCAAAGCATTTTAATGTTCCAATCATGGCACTCTTAGGTAATTCATAGTAACTTTCACTGAGAAAGACTAGATTAAATGGAAAAATTAGATTTAAAAACTATGATTGGAGGTAGTGCAGGGACACCAAGGCAGTAAAGAGTGATAGTGTCAAGATTTGGGAAACTCCCAGAAAGCTTTTAACGTAATCATAGTTGTAATCATAAGAGGTCCAGAAATTGACTATTCATACCTTTACACAGGTGGACACTGTTTTGGCTTTATTTGAGCATCATGAGTGGGATTGGGCTATAACTTTTCTTTACCATACTCTCCACAGTGTGTTGGCTGTCTTGTACTTGCAAACTCTAGTGCCAGGTCCATTCTCTGCTCTTCTCTGCACCAAGAGAAGGTGGGGCAGGGCAAGCTTCAATAGTCTATATCACCTCAGCTAACAAAACTGTGAAATTGACCCTATTTATTGAAAGGAGTTGAAATTTAAGTGACTATCCCCAGATATCTACAGATCTGTTAGGGAACTAAACTTAGAAATGAGAAAAGATTCAAATACTTTTGAACAAAACCTATGATTTCTCTCTTTATATATGTATATGGTAAACACTTATGAAATATAAGTACAAGTGTGACTGTGCACCTGGAATTGACCAACAGGAAAATTATAATGGAGATAAGTCATGAGAGAAATAGGAGGTCAGCATGGTTATAGAAATGTTCAGTCCTGGCTGGCTAAATGATGGTAATTAATGGATATGGAAATAAATAGAGGAAAAAAACCCCACAAATATAAAAATATAAAAGACATTTATAAATCCTAAATGCTTCACCAGTTTCATGTAAAACAATTGTTTTGTATAAACCTTAGAGACATGCATTATTAACTAGGTGTGAGCGTACCTGTCCAGTCTGCCTTCGTTTCCTCCTAGGTAGTGCTGGTGTCCCTCCACTTCCCAAAAGAATGATCCCAGACTCATTCTTGGTGCTGAAGGACAGGTTGATTTCTGTTCCTACATCAATTGGCACAGGGGCCAACTCCACAAAACCAGGCTTAGGGAAGTTTACTACGTAAACATTCTGTGGTTATGAGGAAAGAAAAGAAAAAGGCATCAGAATTGAAAATTTAAATTAGTGACTCCATCTCATTCTTTTTTCAGTAGACTCAACGTTACCATGAAGTATGTTGTAATTTTAAAAAGAATGAAAACTCAGATGGGGAATTTCAGAGCAGTTAAAGAAGTATTACATCCACTTGTAACTGAATCTTCCTAGTCATTTGAGATAAATTAATCATTTGACTTTTGCTTTTATTTTAGAACATTTGAGTTAAATATAGAAGATTATTACTGATAAATACCATTTTGTTTTGGTTTAAATTCATCTTGTAAACATGTCTTGAAAATAATCTAAATCAATACCTTTAATACCCTCCATCAGCTAGTTGATTATGTTTTACAGGTGTGACCACAGTCTATATCAACATTCTTTTTAAGTGATAAGCCCAATGTAAAGATATTCACTGCTGTCAAATAAATAAATACTTTATAAGCTTTAAAAATATCATATACAAACCTAAACCTTAAAAATAAATCAAACATTTATAATGTCCAGTGCTTCCTCAAAATGAAAATACCATTGTTTTTGTCAAATACAAAACTTAAAAAATAACATTCCAGACAGTAAAGAAGTGAAAAATAGGGAAAACCACAAATATTCCCATACCAAAGCAGTATAAATTCATACGGCTTTTGGGAAGTCATTAATTTTCTCTTTCACCCTCTTACCTTCCACCTTCCCTTCCTACACGTAAACTGAATCATGATAGACATGCTCATTTTTAACTTCTTTTTCACTTAATTATGTGGGGCTATCTCTCTATCAGCAAACACAGATCTCATCACCAATTTTAATGCTTGAAGGGCATTCCATTGTATGAATATGCCATCATTTATTTAAGCAAGCCCATATAGTTGGGCACGGAGAGTGCTTAAAATGTTCATTTTAAAAATCTCAAATTTTTCTGGAATAAAAGCAAAGATTCCTTTAATGTAGTTCATTTTTTTCTGACACAGTGTTTCAGGTCTAGTTAAGAGACACAAGTGTGGGCAAAATGTGTAATCTATTTTTGATTCCAGATCATGAAGTTTTAGATAGCTCAGATAAAATTACCATGCAGGCTTTTCCATATTTATCCACATCAAATTTCTGCCTCGTATTTTAGTTGCAAAATAATTCCTGGTTACTGACAAGTGTCTTTACAGAATCATCATTTTTACACATACAAGCTATTCATTTTCTGGACAGTTTTCATCCTCATGTATATCTTTTGAATGTGGATGGGAGTGAGGGTTTAGAAGATTAAAACTCTCAGTGAAAAAAGGTTCTTTTAGAAGACAGTATCAATCCTTAGAGTTTTATTTCTTTATGTATTTCCTTTTTCCTTATCCCAAAAGTGGGAATTGCAAATGGAACATGCAGCTTCAAACAATAAAGATCCTCGTAGTTCCGTTCCAGCCTTCAAACCCTGTGGCTCATATGATGGGGTCTTTATTTTTTTCTTTCTCCCCATCCTCCCTACATTCCCCTGAATTCTATAAACAAGTACCACCAAACCAACTTTGATTCATGGTGACCTCACGGATGTCAGAGTAGAACTGTGCTCATGGAATTTTCAACGGCTGATTTTTTTGGAAGTAGATCACCAAGTCTTTCTTCCAACGCACTTCTGGTGGACTTGAACCTCCAACTTTTGTCTAGCAGCCGAGCTTGTTAACCATTTTCATCACCCAGGATTGTGAATTCTATGCTATGGCAGTGCTTTGAAACCATTTTAATTGGAAGAAGTAATCACAGTGAACAGTTGTACCATCTCAGAGTAATTAAACTTTATAAGCATGATATATTTAACATTTTTTTTTAAGAAGCTCATCAGTTTTGAGATCCCATAAAATTCTCACGAATGTGCTGATGACAGTTGGCTCTAGTTTATAGACATTTTAATAGAGAAGAGCTCTAACCTGAGTTTGTTTCATATATGGATCCCTCTACTGAAAAGTCAGTGCAGAATAGTCAAGTAAATCGGGGGTGGCTGGGCTGCTTCAGCAATAGAGATACTGAGGATGTCTGGGCCTGCAGCTACACTTTAACCTTTTGGTGATAAGAAACTTTGCAGTCTTGACAAAGGTAAGTCTTTGGAAAGTTGGATACCACAGTTCTTAGTGCCATTTTTAAAGAAAAGGGGATTTGACTTCCAAGGTACAGACAATATGATGTGCATTGATGATTATGCTGTAAATGACTACTGGCTATTTGTGTAAACTCCAACCACATTCCAGAAAACAATTAAGGCTGCTAGTAAAGCTATATACGGTATTTACTGATAAAATAAATTTAAGATAGATAGCAGGTATAGGGAAAAAGGGGAAAGTAAGGTTGGGAATAAGCAGAATGAGAAAAGAGATCACATTAAAAATATATACTATGAAGCTCTATAACATGGGCAATTGGATCACAATTTTGGGTCTTCATAATATCATTTACTAAGCTCCGTTGATCCTGGTAATTTATAGAAGTGCTGCAATCTTGTTTTATCACATATGAATAGCTAAGATGAGAGACAGTAGGATGTAAGTAAAATCTGATATGAATGTGGTTAGGGAACCATGAAAAACAGACCAACCTCCAATGAACATCCTTTGGTAACGCCAACATAATCAGGGCTACTAAGTATATTATATGGGGTTCTTGAAATTTCAATATCTCTGAGGCAACCAGAATATTTCTTCAAATTTACTTCTGGCCTGTTGAAAGTTAAATGGAAAACAAAACCAATATAATTAGGGCAATGATGGTGGAGTTCCCGTAACTATCGAAAGCAAGCCATAGGAGCAAATTGACATATTGGCAGGCACATTTATCAAGTTGTGCACAGGTACACAGAGGTACCCAGCAAACAAGCTTTCCCTTCTCTACTGGTTGCATTAGGAGATATTAACTTCTTGCAGGAGTCTTTATGGCTTTTCCCTTTTGTTTTGTTTTGTTTTTGTTTTTGTTTAGTAACATCATCCACAACATTTAAGTACAAGTGCAAGAATTACTGACTTCTATTAAGTGCTTAGGCACCTTGGTGGCACAGTGGTTAAAGTGTTTGGTTACCAACTAAAAGGTTGGTGGTCTAAACATACCAGTTACTCCATTGGAGAAAGATGAGGCAATCTGCTTCTGTAAAAATGTACAGCCTTGAAACCCAATGGGGGCAGTTCTACTACCTCCTGTAGGGTTGCTATCACTTGACAGCAATGAGTTTGGCTTTGTTTGGTTTTATGAAGTACTTTATATGTACAATGAAATAATTGTTTCTTTTTCCTTCCAAAAAAGCAGATAATTGTGTAAGTAGAATGAGAAATATCATACGTAAAGAAGTAATAATTATAGTAACTTGTTATTTCTTTTTTTAATTCTAGAAAATATTTCAGTCATTGAGACTTTTTCTTTGTGGGGTGAGTAATCAGTATTGATTCCACCTCAACATAAAAACAACAAAAATCCTCACAATTGGACCAATAAGCAACATCATGATAAATTGACAAACAATTGAAGTTGTAACTATTTCATTTTACTTGGATCTACAATCAATGCCCATGGAAGCACCAGTCAAGAAATCAAATGATGTATTACACTGAGCAAATCTGCTTCAAAAGATCTATTTAAAGTATTCAAAAGTGAAGATATCACTTTGAAGACTAAGGTGTACCTAATCCAAGCCATGGTATTTCAATCATCTCATATGCATGTGAAAGGTGGACAATGAATAAGGAAGACTAAGGAATTGATGTGTTTGAATTATGGTGTTGGCAAAGGATGTTGAATATACTGAGGACTTCCAGAAAAATGAATAAATCTGTCTTGGAAGAAATATAACCAGAATGTTCCTTAGAAGTGAGGATGGTGAAACTTCATCTCACATACTTTGGACATACTATTAGCAGGGATCAGTCCATGGAGAAGGACATCATGCTTGGTAAGTAGAGGGTCAGTGCAAAAAAGGAAGACCCTTAATGAGCTGGATGGACACAGTGGTTGTAACAATGGGTTCAAACATGCAACAATTGTGAGGCTAGTCCAGGACCAGGCAATGTTTTGTTTTGCTGTACAGAGGGTTGTAACCAACGTCACAGAGCAACTTATGAATGAACCACTGAATGGGGAAACTAATTTGCTATACAAACTAACCTAAAGCACAATACAATGCTAAAAAAAAAAAAAAAAAACTACAGCCTTAGAAACCTTACAGGGCAGTTCCACTCTGTTCTACAGGATGGCTATGTGTCAGAATCAACTCAATGACATTGGATTTTATAGATGAACCCTAGAGTCCTTATTTTATACCAGAGTGATAGCGACATAAAACCACCAGAAGCACAAAAGATATATTTACTTTTATTCAGTAGGGTTTCAGAAAAAATGGTTGCTGTACTCAAACTAAGGTTCCCAGGTGGCTCAAATGGTTTGTATTCTATTAGTAACCTAAAGGTTGGCAGCTTGAATCCACCCAGTGCCACACAAGAAAGGTCTGGTGGTCTGCTTCCATAAAGATTACAGCCAAGCCTATGGAGCAGTTCTACTCTGTCACACATGGGGTCACCATGAGTTGGAATGGACTAGATGGTTTTTTGGTTGTTGTTACATCCAAATTACTTCTGATTGTTTACTTCTTGCTCATTACTTCTTCAAATAGGACAAACATTTCAGCAGATTAGAAAATGAAGTCCTTGCCCTTGAGTCCAGCATGTTACTCTGGCTTCTTATGTAACATCCTCAAAGTGATTTTTCTGTGAGTATCAATGTCCTTATATATGAAATGGACATATTAGTAGTAATAGTATCTGCATTGACGAGTTGTGAAGTTTGGACAAGACAATGAATGTAAACACTTTAACATAATTTCTAGCACAAAAAAGTGCTCAGTAAGGGTGAGTTAGCAGGTTGTGAGTGATAACGATTCTCCTTCATGTGTGAAAACACTGGCCAATACAACTTCCTGTGATGGTGGAAAAAATCCACTCTGCACTGTCCAAGTTGGTAGCCACTAGCCACATGGAGCTGTGACTTGTGCCAGAGAGGAACTGAGTAGTTATTAGTATTTAATCTTATTTAATTTAAAGTTAAATTGCCATTGTGGCTAGTGGCTACTCTATTGAACAGTGTGCAAGTCTATAGGGCTAAATAAAGGAATAATTTCTTCCTTATGTGATGTTAATAAGAATCTATAAAAAATTGTTCAATAACAGTAAAATATAACAAGTATTAGGGTAATGATTAGTTCTTTTCTTATTGTCCAAGATATTAGTACTTTTTTTTTCTTAATAAAGTGTATATGGCACCAGGGAAGACAGGTGGGGAAGGAAATCAGGCCCTGACAGTGGGCACGAGGTGATTTAAATCATGCCAGATACTTGTTCCATCTTCCTTTTCCCTGCAACTGCTTTATTTTCTTGGACAATTTTCTCCTGTTCTCAAGCTTTCATCCTTCTGCTCAGTCATTTTTTCACTAAGAAGAACATGTCCAAGTGGAGGGTGAAGGTCTTGCTTGTGTTCTTCTATAAGGCAAAGGGAATGGGTGCATTTCTTTCATGGCGCTTGTTGGCTTCTATAATTTTTCTTCAAGGGCAGGGTCATCTCACAAATTTTTCAGATGTCTTATCAATAAAGTCTATCACTCCTACCAGTTATATAGGTTGTTATTTTAAGGAAACACAAAGAACCTCTTCAAAATATAATAATTTAGCAAGCCCAGTGTTATGAAAATCACAGAGGACAAGTAACCACATATGATCAGATTCATAATGTAACTGCAGACTTCTGAGAGTCACCACTCAAGGGTAAAATTACCAAGCTACACAGTGTCATCCAGAGTTTTATCAGCATCTGTTTCCACTGAAAGCCAGCATTTGTCTTTTAGCCATCCCAGCAAACATAGCATGACTGTCCTCGTTACGGTATTTTGATACCATAACTTGTTTTAGTTTTTGCACTTTCATTTCTATATAGTGTAGTTTCTGATATTGAAGCTGTTATCCTTTGCTTTTGAAAGTACTTGGATCCATTCAGGTTCATTATCTCCTTTCTAGAAAGTTGGCATAGTCTCTGAAATGCCAAAACATCAGACTTCAGTGCTTGCCAGAGTGTACTAGCATTGCACATCTCTTGGGTTGAATCAGCTAATTTACAGAGGGTGCTGCTCACAGTTTTCATGTTAACTCCTATCTCCAAATCAGAATAAATGCTCCTGGAGAAGGTAGAGGGACTGCCCACAAACTTCTTCACCATTAATGGAAACACTTGTTTTAAACATCATATTCCCAGAGATTTCTGTCATCTGGCTCTAGAGCTAACTTTAAATAAACATAGCAATACATAAGCAGTTCTGGTATAGGATGCAAAGAATGTGTAAACATTTGCATAATTGCAGCTCTGCAAAAAGCAACAATGCAGTGGTAAGCATTTAGGAGCACCCGTTAATTGCTCAGCAGAGAGTATGGTACCAGGGAGGCCAGAGTAAGATGCTCAGTCCCAGCGATGAGTGAATTACCTTGCTCTGTTACCCAGAACTAGACTGTGTCCATAAACTTGACCATCTGCCAATTGCAAGTGTGCTGCTGGTCACTAGTGTGCACTGTGCATGAGCAGTTGAACAAATAAGCAGAGCAAGTCCAGCGTCACTGCTGGTGAAACGACTAAAATTGCCAGCCTAGTTGATGGTGGGTAAGCAGCAGCATCTTTCTAAGCAAAGGGCGGCAGGAGAAACATCTCAGGATGCATTACTTGTTCATGAACGGTGCTGTGATAAAGCTACACAGGTCGAGCTGCTTCTGCACTGCTGCTTTATCTAAAGCGACGTTTACCCAACCCATGCACTCAGAGAAGGCATGCATAAATTTAAAGTTTACCTTGCTTTCATACTAGGTCACAGGGAAGAAAAAAAACAATTTACTTATAATTGCATTTTCATTTAGTAAAACAATAAACATTAATCATAAATCTCCAAATAAAGCATTTCACAGGGAAAGGAGTACAAAAACCAACAAACAGAGAACAGATATATGCCCTTGACTGCAGTGAAAATAAAGTCTAAAAATGACCACTTCTACACAATCCTCTCAGAAAATTTTTACTTTGGAGTATGTACTTAACTTTATTTTTATCATCGTAATGAATGGGAAATGCACGTCTCTATTCTGTAGTTCCCCTGAGTAGTTTATAAATATTGCCTTTCATACAGCTTAAATTTAATGAAATCTATAGAAATAATTTACATTTTGTTTCATCTTTTGTACTTTATCATATTGAGATCCCGTCTATGGGCAAAATAGAAGGTGCCTGAGTTCTTGGCTTCTTAATTAGTCACAAATATATGTCTAAAGATTGTTTTGAATGTAGCATGCTATAGCTGCATTATCCATATGAAATGTACTCTGAAAGTAAAAAACATTCTAGGGATGGTAAAACAAAGACTAAGATATGTACTTTGGTAACCAACGGAATCATAAACCCATGTCAATTAAATTAACATGTATACTTCTGTAGATGATTCCTAAAAATTACTTTATGCCGATCAAAACCAAGTCATTACTAGAAGTACAGCATTTAAGTTTGGGTAGGCTTATTTTGGCTATACTCCACTCATAGTAAAATATAGTTATTGATATTGCAAAGTAAATCTTAGACTTACATAACTGCTGGATACCTCACATTTAATATGGTGCCTGGTACATAGTAGATGCTCAAGAAAATTTTTTTTAATGAATACTAAATAAATGAATTTCCAAGTACTACTTACGTGATTCAAGTACTTATGTGATTCAAGTATTTTTGATTTGTGATGATTTTTCTGACCAGGCACTTTAAATCTATATTCCTAACCCAATATACAATATAATGCAGAAAAATACAGAGCCAATTGATCTATACCGTGAAACATATCAATTTATACTCTTGAAAGACTGGTAATTTGGCAGTTGCTTAGTTTATGAATAAACATTTGGAGAAAAGAGTAAGCCTCAATGAGACTAAACTAAATGAGACTAAATTTCCACTGTTCATTTGGGAAAGAAGAAAATAATTGATCACCGTATTTCTTGGCTAATCTGAAATTCCTCCAAATGTCATGTGACTCTTAGAGTACAAACATGGAGGCAGGAATTTTGTCCCAGTTAAAAACAAACCAAATTAAAACACACACACACACACACACACACACAATTAAAAACATGGTAGTCTGTATTTTTAGTAAACTGTTATGGTTTAACCAAATCAGTTAATTCAAATATAATTAAATTTAATGACCATTTATTGAACATCAAATAATCTATAGATTTTTATTTCTTATGTTTTATAATAAGCACTAAATTAACTAAATGCCATATAAACTATTTTCTGAAAGTTACTTACTTGTATTTATTTAATTTTAGAACTAACTTAACTATGAACTAAAAACCTTTCCCCATCCTGCTATCTAAAAAGTATATGAAAATTAAAGCATAAAATGTTGGTATGGGCATGAGAATAATACAGTTCTTCTATTAGGCATATGAGACTGGGCCAAGACACTATAACAATGCTAATACTTAGCAGTAAAAAGGGTGGTACTCACAGTGTCCTGGAATTCTGACTACTCTTCAGAACACTAAGCAATGCCAATGTGCCATTATCTCCAGGGAACGGACAAAGAGAACACAAATTACAAGTTCCACATTCTACTCTAGTTTCCACCTTTAATTACTTTCATAACCGTTTTCATTAGCTGAATCAAAGGGAAACAGTGATTCCAATCCACCTCTTCTACAAACATGCCAAATTAATCTTCTGGTTTCTAAAACCTAATATTATTCTAACATGCAACATGTTTGTTTTGATTAGGCCTTTCTGCAACTAAAGGTTACATGACATTCCTATTATAATTAAAATTCAGAATTCTAGTGAGTATTGTGGCCATTTAATTAAAATTGAATCCTTAGCTCTAAATATAAACTAGATTACCTTAAGTTCCTCAGTGTTGGCAGGCCGCCAAAATATATTTTGTCATCTGCTTTCAAGTCAAGACCAAAGTTGTTTCCAGTTGATGAGGTTGCTATGATCTCCTCCTGGTTAGTATCTATATCTACAATTGATATGTTGGCTGTAAAGAAGATAGAAAGGTTGATATTTTATTTGAGAAATGCTGACCATATATATATATATATATATATATATATATAGTCGTTGTTATGTGCCGTCGAGTTGGACCCGACTCATAGCAACCCCTCCCCTTGGGTTTCCAAGGCAGTATCACCACGGAAATAGATTGCCCCACCTTCCCTCCGAGGAGTGGCTGGTAGGTTTGAACCGCCAGCCTTCTGATTAGCAGTCAAGTGCCTTAGATTACCACTATTACTTCAAGATGAAATTAGTTTAATTTTCAAATTAACATTGACTTTCTCAATAATTATTACTATATAGTCATTTAATAATTGTAGAAGCAGTAACATCAATGAAAAACATTATTAAACCATCCACAGTAGAGAGCATGAAAATAATCACTTCTCGAGGCAACACCCATGAGGATAAAAGAGAGATGTTTAAATGAACGTGAAAGAGCAGTTTGACCAAGTTTTCCATAATACAGATAAGGAGGTAGAAATAATTAGAAATAAGATAATTAATTATATATTAGATGTTTAATTAGAAGTCAGATAAGTAAAAATATACTGAGTCTGTGGCTCTTCCTGTAAAGTTCCGTATTCACAGAACTATTTAGGCTCATGTGCAAAGTAATGACAAGGGGATTGTGTATGGAAGTGGAGGTGAGAATCTGCAAGATGATGGGAGCCACATCCACTCTAAATTACGTTTTAGGCTGGGGATGATGAAGGTAGTGAGAGGCACAGTTCCCTCCCTTTCTTGCTTTTCCTTCAGTTCTCTAAAGGCATTTATGATGTGATGAGGATAAGAATTCAGAAATAGCCAGGAAAAGGGAAGAAGGAGGCACTTTTCAGCATAAGCTGCTTTGTAGAGAAAGCAGATGGGGAACCTTTCTCACTGACTTTGTTTTCCCTCAATCTGTAGGGTCAAAGGTAGGTTTTTCTCTGAATTATTTGCTTCCTCACTATAATATTTGCTTAGACTTGGCCTTTCACTGCTTCATGTATTTTGGATCCTTGATGCATATTGAGGTATCAGTTCATTAACATGAGAAATTTGTCCTCTAAATCCTCATCTGGTATAGGATTTGAATTAACAAGGGTCTGAAAATGGGTATTTGATACAATCAATTATAAAAGCATTTCTAAATATTTATTCCTTAAAACACCAGTTTCTTGGACATTCCTAGGTCAAATAAATTAGACAAACACTGGGTTAAACAAGGTTAAAATACCTTAATTTTATGACTTCCCAGAGCTTTTAACCTGCTAATATGCAATGTAACACTCCAAGAGAGAGAGACGTGTGTATGATGTATTTCCCAAATATATTTGACGATGAGACATTATTATTTTCCCTCTACTCATCATAGTTCAGGACTAGTGCTCTTTGGAAAAGCCAGAGAAATATCCAACGCCGAAATTCCATTGTAGTTTGTAGCCCTCCCATTCCAAAAGAAAGTATTTTCAATGTAGCCATATGTGAAAAATGAAATGTCCATACTTATTAATATCTCAAAGCTGACTTTTAAAAAATGGACAACAAAAAACAACTACAAAGAAAATCATTGAATTAAAAATACTTCTCAAGTTTAAGATTTTAAAAATTAATTATTTTTTATAAATACATTAAAAAAAGATATATCTTTAACTAAAAGAAAAGAGATTTATAAAAGCGTTTTCATGACGTCTCCACACAGACTCCTTTTTTATCCAGATAAGCAAAGAAATTTTCATGTGGGGCTGTTGACTGGAACATGAGAATAAATTCTTTTCACAGACCTGATGATATTTTAATAGTGTCTGTGAAAATGAGATTCTGCCTCTCTATCACAGGCAACCAATGACTGGAGGTCGTTTTCTTCCTTATCCCTTAGTGAATATATGCAGTTTTAGAAATCATTCTAACAGAAACTGATTAAAGAGTGGCAACACAATTGAATTGAAACTCACTGGCCCAAGAGGAGATATGTTGAATGGCATATATTTACTGATTTAAAGGAAGGATCTTACACTACCCTTCATGAGTGATAGCAATGAAATAGGTTCTGCTAACACTTACTGTTATTTCTTTTTCTTACAGAATAGAGAAATAAGCTACTAACACAACATTTCCGAGTTGATGAGCACAGACATAATTCATGGGTGTGTAGGGAAGTGGGGTTTATTAAATACTAAACATGGAGTAGAGACTTAATAAGTATTTTATAAACATTACTTAGTTGTTATAACTAATTGTTATACTTTGGTATTTTTTCTTCTCATTCTTAGTTCATTGAAAATCTAAATGACCATCCTGAACCTTGTTTCCCTATCAGTGCACTTGGGGCATATGGTGCACTTTTATCAGTGACTGTGTTTCTACTGACTGACTGTCAAGAAGATGGGGGATGCTGCCTGAAGGAGTAGATGTGAATTTCAATGGATCATTCTTTTATAAATTTGTGAAGAATAATTTATCTAAAACGAGTAATTTGGGTACTGGAGAGGAGTCTTGCTTGGATTCCTATCCCACTGCTCCATGGTTTTGGAACTTGCTAAAGTCCTCAGTGACTTCCTTACAGCCAAACTCAGTGGAGAAATTTTGTCCTTCACTTAGGAGATGTATCTGGCAATGTGGTATCTGATGTTGTTGCTGTTATGTGCTGCCTAGTTGGACCTGACTCATGGTGACCCTTCCTTGGGTTTCCAAGGCAGTATCACTACGGAAGTAGATAGCTAAACCTTCTTTCCGAGGAGTGGCTGATGGGTTTGAACCGCCAGCCTTCTGGTTAGCAGTCAAGTGCCTTAGGCACTACGCCACTAGAGCACCTTCTGATGCTGCTGGATCTTTCTTCTTGGAACTTCCTCTTTTGAATTCCATCATGCCATGATCTCCAACTTCTCTTACCCTTCCTAACCTCATTCTCAGTCTCCTTTCTTGGAAGCTATTTCTTTGAACACTTTTGAAATGTTGAGTTTCCCTAATATCCCTTTCTTTTTCCACCTCTCAAGTTTTAGCTTTATGAGAATATTGAAGTTTTTATTTACTTAGGATGACCCAGAAATCAGTATGCCTGGACTTGACATTAGCCTAATAGTCCATATGCAATAAATGAGACACCATCATCTGTATTTCCCTTTAGTAGCTCAAACAAATCATATACCATTCCTACTGATCCTTTTACTCCCAATTTGTACTGCCTATTTTATTTGTTGGCATTACGGCCTGCACCCAAGCTCCTAAACTGCAAAGTCAACCTGGCTTTTCTCCTCATGATTCGACATCTAATAAGTCAACAGCCTTCTGATTTCATCTTCTAAAAAACTTGACTATGTACATGCTTTTTAACAGCTTTGTTGTTGTTGTTGTTGTTATATACCCTCGAGTCGGCCCTGACTCATAGCGACCCCTCCTTGGGTTTCCGAGGCGGTATCACTACGGAAGTAGGATTGCCCAACCTTCCTTCCGAGGAGTGGCTG